TCCCTGAGGTCTGGCTTTTTTTCTGGAAAACCATAACTCTGGTCTTGTCCAGATTGACTGTCAGCGCCCAGGTCTGACAGTGCTTCTCCAGCATTGCCAGGTTCTGCCGCAGCCTCTGTTCTGTGGGCGACAGCAGGACCAGGTCGTGAATTAATGCAGATCAGTAAATCAGGGTACAAATCAATTATTGCGCCCAGCTCCTCAATGGGCTTTGACGTGCTAATGCATTGGTTTAACAGTCCGGGTGTGGCAATGTTTTTTATTATTGTTATAGAGAAACATGATCAGATTTTCCCCAGTTCAGAAAAAAAGATCTAAAGTATACTAGTTTGTCAGTCTTCTCATCCCCTCTCTGCTAAATGGCTTTTGAATAGAGTCACATGAAGAGAGAGGTGAAACAGCTCTACACAGCCCTGTCGCAGTACACGAATATAATTATATCTTATTAATTTCTTTAGATACGCGATTCTTTTAATACAGTCTTTGCTGTGCTCTTGGGGATCCTTGTGATATTTCAAGCTCTGGTTGAATATAAAGTGTCGCAGTTTAAATAATTTTCGTAGTTAGAAATTATGGAACGCTCTGTTAAAAGCAAGGGAGTTTTTATGTCCGTTTCAGTTTTTTTGCAACATGGATATAATTATATCGTTATTAATTTATTTAGATACGCGATTCTATATTATATTCCCTTTTAATCAAATTCTAAAAGTATGCTTGTTGACTCCGGTATCACGTTAGTTAAAGACTTTGATGCTTTAAATGTTTAGGGAGAAATGGAATACTGGTGTGTATGTTTTCTTTAAAGTACCAAGCCCAGCCATATACTGAATGTTTAAGTTCCAAAATTAATATCGTTTATGGCCTTCACACACGTTGCAGTATGCTCCTATTCTTTTTATGCTCAGGTACGTAGATTTCCCTTCAGTGGTAAAATTCCATATAAATATTCAATACTTAAACGGGCACAGTTAAGACATTAAATATACATATACATACTGTATACAGTACAGTTTGCATATGGTAATATGTTTATCTTCCTAAATCAATCTCTTTAATGAGCATGTGAAAGGCATGGTGAATCGATTCTCAAAAATTACTGTACTTTGCATGATTGGAAACAAATGCGTGATTGTGAAAAGTGTTACTTTTACAGAGACGGTCAATGAAAAAAGGAATGTGGACCAGGGCAATACTTTGAGTTTACAGCTTGTCCAAGGTCATTCATTATTAATACTATTAGTAATATCTTTGTTAAAGACTTTGATGGCGACAGCTCAAACATGAGAGGTTGAGCTTTATTAGCTCCACCTTGCAGAAATTCCGGGTACTATTATTTTGCTTGTAGTATTATAGGAGAATTTACGGTACCTAGCGGTATTTACCGTGGTAGACTGCGTAAAGCGCACCGCAAAATAATGCGGTATCGCCCACGCATTTTGAATGGCTGCATCTGTACATATGGGTTTCAGAGGTTGGAGTAAATGTATTGCCCCAAGGGTACCATCGAGTGAGGTGACATGAGAATAGAAACTGCGAAGGTATTGAAATACTAAGTTCTGACGATCTTGTTTGATCCTTCATGATGCTTTTAAACTTGTATGAAACCCACAAAATTAGTATTCTATTTTCAATGCCAAAAGACACCTAATTTGGAAATTCATGACTTACTTGACAACTTGACACAGACTTGACACCGAATTGGTATAGTCGCATTACAGTGGTAACCAATTTATCGTACCTTTCATTGCAAGAATGGTCTGCTAATAAATGCGTCAAATTCATACTTTGGGTGTATTTTAGCTCTGTAAACGTCATTCACTTAAAAATACTGCAGGGCATTTAGAGGTGATATGAATAGTTATCTGTAAAATGCACACTCGATCTATCCATCAATACTATCTTAATGTTATTCATGCATTCCAAAACTTAATTTTTGTAATTTGAAATTTGTTTATAGGATACATTTTAGAACCTCTTCATGCTTAACTCCTACAGGTTGAGCATGTATCGAGCTGCTACAAGCAAACATGTGCACTGCCCCTTGTGTTCCAGAAACACTTGTATTCGGGAAGCTAGGATGAACTTCTTAGAACCCAAGATGCATGTAGCATCTCATGTGTCTTATTTCTTTTGGGACTGGTTTGGTCATCTACACACGGCTTTTTGAAAAACGTAGATATACAGTATGCGTTTGTTGTGCCATGTTGGCTAATAAACCAAAAACCTATCGCTAGATAGATCTAAGAGCATCTGACCACAACAATAGCCAATTAGGCTATGACCAGGCATGCACCGCCCCACCACATTTACATAATTTTCTTATTGGTCACAAAAGATACATCGAGCTAAAAGCAAATTACATACAATGAAAAAATAAAACGCATATCATTAATATGCAAATCATGTAACACAAACAAGGAAAAAAATCTTAAATTACTTTGGACTGATTGGGTAGGCCTAGGATCGATCGGGGTGCGCCTGAGCACACCCAGGCCAACCCAGGCCCACCTGTGGCTACGCCCCTGTAGAGCACTAGCAGTCACATGATTGTCAGACAGCCCAGTTGCTCAAATGAGTCTAAAGGAGTGTGAAGGTGCATGGAGGAGCAATCTCGGAGCTCGGAGCAAAGCGTTTTAACTGGAGGAAAATACGGTTGGTGATTGGTCGAGAGGTTACTGGGTAGTTTGGGTTTCCATGCCCTGCAGGTTCCTGATTGGTTGGTCAACTTGAGGACAGATTAACCATGACCTCTGACTCTAGAACCATGATCCAGATGTGCTTAGAATCTCACTAGACAACCAGGCGCCAAGACTGAGCATCTATCATGATACTGTAGCTAGTTGCATCCCAATCCTGGGAACTGTTCCTTATCAGGAAAACAAACATTCCTAAAAGAGTGCGCCAACATGAATGGCTTCTCTGTGGATCGGATCACAGAGATGGGAGAGAGGGGCCTCACATGTGAGGGAATTTACTAAAAGGTTTTATTAAAAGTTCATATTATATCTTGTTAACTATGTATCTTTATACTTATATTTTAATAAATCCGTCTCAGGATATCTAGTCTCAAAAGATAACATAGCCACATGATGTCTTTACACACAGCTGACATAGTTCTCAGGGAAATGACCAAGTGACATCTCCTGGAATGGTCTATTCAGCAAAAGTCACGCAAGCCAGCAGTTAAGAATATATACTCTATGTAATGGTCAGCTTTTTAGAACGACCATATATAGCCATAAGGCAAACAGAGAGTCATGTGGGAGTGTATTGTATTGTTTGTTCACTATATAAAAGTGCACTGTAAACATTGGTTTGTAAGTCTTGTGCCGCACAACGCAAGACTCCAATATGCATATGAAATAAAGACGACCTTCAACACACAAACTCTCAGTGAGGGCCTTTTTCTGAGAAAAGCACAGCAACACTTAATTCTGTCTTAATAATATTAATAAGTATTGCTGCTACAGTAGTATACTTATTATTTATTTTATTATTATTATTATAGACTATTATTTTATTATATGAGAAAGAGTCTTATCCCCAAACTTCCCAAAAAACGCTGGGAATTAAAACTGGACCCCTCAGTGTGTTTGTCGAAAACCACTGAACCAAAGCAACACTCTGCTAGGATGAGCTAAATAACAACTATAAGAGTTGCATCTTCCATTGCATTTTAAATAAGTATTATACAATATAAATTAAAAAAACAACAATTAAAATGAATGTTGTTATAATTGCTTGCAGATGAAGAAAAACTAAAAGTACAATAATTCATTTTCATTTCCAGGTGTTTTGAAATAAAATCATAAAAATGCTGAATGAAATCTTACGTGACATTACTAACACACTAAAAATTAGCATATAATAAATCAATAAATACATCATACAAGTACTTATATAACTAAAATAAATTTTTGTTCAAGTAAATGTTGTTTATTTCTTCGGTTTTCAAGTATTTGTCGGAAATGTTTATAAAAAACATTAATTATTTCCCAAAATATCCACAGCAAGTGAGAGAGTTGTGATAAAGAAAATGTTGATGAAGAAGGTGGAATACTGTTGTGTTTATTTTTTATTTTCAACTACCACTGCCAGCTAAACAAATCTTCATATATTTATATAAATAAATTATTATGACATTCAGAAAATTGTTTTTATTTTAGGCAACCAAATTTTCCCTCTAGTTACATTATTCCAAATTAATATTCCATAATAAACAAATTAAATGAATCTAATGTTTTCACTAATATCTAATACCTGGTGCAACCTATTGTTATTCTTTGGCCATTGAAAATTTGTTTGACTGTGTGACTGACCACACAGCAGTATGGCAAAATCACTTTACCACAACATTTTGAGATGTTTTACACTCTAAGTGGCTGCATCAGTATATCAGGTGGATTATGCAATATTTCTAAAGAACATGGATGGAGAATGTTAGTGGAATGTAAGTCAGTGAACAGGTGGCAAAAACAACTGCCAGACTTTAGCTTGCTTAAGATGGACGCTTTTTAGTGGGCTGTGTAAGAAACTTTTGTAACCTGGAAAAAGTAGCTCGAGGTGAAATTCACAGATTTGGAAGTTCTGTTGTAACAGAAAGAATAAGGTTCTTGATCACGAGATGAAGTAAAACAGATGAGTTTATTGCATGCAAGGAACAATAAAGCCGAAGTCTTGTTTCCCGCAAGAAACAACAAAACCGAAGTATTGTTCGATGTGCCGGTACAAACTTTTAGGTTATATAGTCCTTGCTTGCTGCTTCAGACGTCATTCGATTTTATGGTAAGGGGGGGTCATGGTATTTGGCCAGTTCAGAGGCCCTGGCCAAATGGTCAGTTTAAGATTATGCCCCCAGGAGGTTCCTTGCTCGCATCTGGAATCCTTATCAGTTAACCTCCTTTCCTGCCGTAAACCCCTGTTGCTTAGAAGTCTAATTTTCAGGCAGAACTGACTTAAGTTATTAACCCTTTTAATATCTTGTCTCTTACTTTAGATGGAATGGGTCATAAAATTACAGCCAGCTGCAAATTGCTCAAATTGATGAAAAGGATTCCGTGAAGAACCCTACTGAAGGAGAAATATCAGCTATGTTCCTGGGTAGATGCTTGGGTAAGTAAATGAGGGCATACTACACCAGTTGGACGCCAATGGAGGGAAGTTAAAAGGGTAAGAAACCTGGGCCAACAAAGCATTGGGGATATGGCGGATGCAAATGAGACGCCTGAACCCAGTGCAAACGAATGCCATGCACTTGCACCCTTTAGGGCATTGAAGAAATTAGTGAAGTTTGGGGTACAGCGTAAAATAAGTATTGCAGAAAGGGGAGAGATGAAACAAAGAAGATAGTTTTGAACTAGTTGCAGACTGTAGATGTTCAACCAGAAATCCAGACAAAAATGGTTAAGTGACAGGGGAGGTGACTACAGATTTTCCAGAGGTCTTTGGAGAGCTGATCAGGAGGACTGGAAGAAAAGAGCAGACAACTTGGCAGGTGCAGAAAGATGTTTTTTTTTCCATTGAGAATGAATTTAAGGTAGGAGATCTGCTTGTTTGAAAGGAAGTGAGAAAGTAACTCCTGTCCTGGCATGGAGGAGGCCATTGTGAAAAAGATAAGGTTTTAGCAATTCTGAGTGTGAGATATATTCAACTGTGACTTGCATAAGTTGACTTGCATTTTGATCTCCTTTAAATTCAGTTCAACAGAACCATTTGTCACAAGGAGAATATCTTCCAATTAAAGGAAACCTGGAAGCTAAGAAACATCTAAAATTTAAAATTTATAAAATTATCATTCTATGTAACCAACATCTACAATGAACAGTGTCAGACTGTTTTTCCATTCCAGACAAGTAAAAGATTATTATGCTTTTCTAAACACTTAATTCTTAGTGGGATAATAGCCTTCCTGCTATAGGGGTACGTGAGAGGTCAAATAATTCATTCACTCTTGTTGTGAACATTTAAAGACTAGAATCTGAGATTATGTGCACATAATCTGGTATAAGTATTATTATAGTTCTACAAATGTCAAATATATATTGAAAAATATTTACCTGAATATTGGTATATCTAAAAATAAAAGAAAAAAAGTTATGTATCTTATTGCTCCAGTATTTCCACACAGTGTAAAGATTGATTTTGCATATTATTTGCATTGATTATATCTTATTGCTCTATAGTCAAAACTACAAATAGAGTAAGAGCAAATTCCAAGAAGTACTCCCAAAAAGTAAATTGGGGGTGGGGCAGCATGAGTACATATTTGCCTTTATGTTATAAACTGCTGACAAAAATAACGGGAACTGTGTGATGAAATAAAACAAGTACAATAGTTACTAATAATATACTGTAAATATAACCTTGAAACACTTTTCTATTTTTTCCTACCCATTCTCAGATTATTTTTATTTTGTTCTCCATACCCTCATATTCCTGCTCTCTCATTAAACACTACAATACTGATCACTGAACATGTCACCCAAAGCCTTTGCAAATTAATAGAGAAATTCACTAATTAAAATAAAGGGAATAGTGCTTTGGACTTGTTTTGCATTGTTAAGTGCCTTGGAGCAACCTTGTTGTGAAAGGTGCTATTTAAAAATAAATTGAATTGAATATTTATTGGGTAATTTAATCAATTGCCCAATACATTTGTTAATGCTGAATTCTCAACTCCTTAAATTTGATACTAAAAATCCAAACTGGTGTGGAAACCTCTTTGCTTGCCGGCAACAGCATGCACAAAAATGTTTAAAAAAGTATTCAGGGGACAGATTGTAGCCTCTGTATTTTTCTGCCACTAAGCAACAGCATGCACCATAAACTATGTACAATTCAGGAATTCACAATACTCATCAATTTTAATAATTGATTAAGCATATCACATGGGCTAAAGTGAATGATAACAAGTTTAGTATTTTGGCTCAAACCCTTATTAATGTAGAGTACAGGTGTGATTAGAATTTGTTATGTTTTGTCTCAATTACCTGACTGTAAGGACATAGATGATGGAATTTCATTTATGTTTGTGAAGAATTTGCTAGGAAACTTCTGCAAATGTGAAAACTGAAGGTGTGAATTCAGTGTTTGAGAAAAGCACCGCCATGTTTAGAAAGGCACATATTTGCTTATGTGCAAATATAGTACCCAAAAAGTCTTAAGCTGTAATTGCTGCCCATTATGCTTCAACCAAGCATTTACTCAGAGGATGAGGCACTAAATTTGTTTTATTTTTAACACTGTTTTTTTTTATATTTAACTTCAGCAATAAACGTGTTAAGTTTCAGGATTCATGATTTCACTAAAACATTATCTTTAAAAATGTGTATATATCTTTTGTTATTTAACAAAATGGAAGACTGTTGAAATGGTACATTTGGAATGCACTGTATTTATACACAGGAGAGCTGAAGTTGGAGAGATTATGGTTTGACCTTATCCTTAACTTTAGTTAAGATAACATAGACTGGTTGATAATAACAGTAAAGGAACCTAATAGTTTCCTTAAGAAAACTATTACTAATAAATAAAGATAAATATACTGCAATACCACACATGGTCTGAAATTGAGAATAGTTTAAAAATTCCAGCATCTACTAGACAGATGAACTGTAAGCTGCTAACATGATCAGGAGCTGCAGAAATTGAGGTGTGTAATACCTCACCTCCTTTCTCATGCAGGGCAAACATTTTTTTAATGGTCACATCACTAGTAGAATTGGCAATTCAAATGAAATTCAGAGTTTTGTAATCATAAATGTGTATACAATATTTCCTGTTATGGTCACTTTTGTTTTTGTTTAACCTAATTTTCCAAGACAGGGAAAGTATTAAATCTCTAGTTGATCATTTTTTCAGTTAACCCAAAAATAACACTAAATGTGTTTGTGTATATGTAAAAAATGTATTCATGCAAAGTAATTAGCTTGCACATAAAGCTTTATTGATTTTTTCCACAACTTCCTTTTTGTGTTTATGCTTTGTTCTAATGAATGAGATTACTTTATTACGTGACTTCTCAGAAATGTGTTTTGCATCCAAACACACACAGAAACTAACAGAAAACTTCCAAATGATACAGATAAACATTCCATGGGCATCATGGTGGTCTGGTGGTTAGCGTTGTTTTGGAGCCCTGGGTTCAGTTATGGTCCTTGAGTGCTACAATATTTGTGTGTTCTGACTATGTTTGTGTGGGTTTCCTCTGGATGTTTTGATTTTCTACCACAGACCAAACACATACTGGTAAGGTAATTCACATCTGGGAAAAAAATTGGCCTTAGGTGGAAGTGTGTCTGTGTGTCTGCACCACGATGAACTGGCATTCAGTGTGTATCCTGCCTTGTACGTATTTCTTGCTCTAGCTCCCGAACAACTCTGAAATAGAAGGAAATGGTTAGAAAAAAGATGGATTGATAACATTATATAACAGACACAAACACATATACAGTATACACAACTCATGTCACTTCCACACCTCCTTCCTGCTTGCCTAACTTTACTGGTTCCCTTCTTTCCAACTCCTCTCTTCTTGACTTTGCATTCATCAGTAAACTGGTTCCCATTCCTAGCACTTTATTTCAATCCTTTTTCACTTTTCCCTGCCCCATTGTCCTCCGTATAATAAATGAATCCTTAAGTACTGGTGTTGTACCAACAGTTCTCAAAACTACTGCCATTTTCCCATGCCAAAAAAGCCAACCATGGCTCTGGACAATCTAAACAACTTTTGCCCCTTTTCCAACTGACCCTTTCTTGCAAAAATTCTAGAATGTGCTTTTATAATTCAGTTAATCACCTCATTGCAAATAACCTTTTCAAACCCCTCAAATCTGTCTTCTGAAAACTTCACAGCACAGACACTGCCCTGGTCAAAGTCACTAACAATCTTCTAATGGCTTCTGATTCTGGTTGTCCTTCAATCCTCATTTTTTTTGGTCTCAGTGGTACGTTCAACACTGTTAACCATGATATCTTACTTTCTTGTCTTGAGACTGTGTTTGGAGTTTATAACACTGCTCTTAAATGTCTTACCTTACTTACAGTATCGTTGTCACTTGGTGGATTTAGGTCTGAAATTGGACTCGTTAAGTATGGTGTTCCTCAAGGCTTGATACAGGGCCGCCTATTTTTCAGCATTTACATGTTTCCACTTGGTCAGCTTTTAATATCACATGACCTTAACTATCACTTATATGGTGCCGATATTCAAATCTACATCCATACCAAACCTAACGCTGATGTGGTTGTTTTCTGTTCTAATTACCTTTACATCTCCAACATAAAAACATGGATGATTCAAAATTTCCCTCATCTAAACTGAAAAGATTGAAGTCATGATTATTGGCACCCCTATCAACCTTAGAAAGCCAATGCTATAACCTATCTGTGGATATTTGGGTGATATTTGGTTCAGGCCTGACATTGCTTGCTGTAAAAACATCATTCTATAACAAAATTTTGCAGCAAAAATTCTGACCAGGTGCAGTGCAAGTGATCACATTATTCCTATCTTGCACTAGCTTCATCTCAGGTTTTGTGCTGACTTCAAAATCCTCATGCTCATCTATAAATTTCTGCATGGGTTAGCAACTCTGTACCTGTCTTAGCTACTATAATCTTACTCCCCACCTTGCAACCTTTGCTCTTCTAATTCTGGTCTCCTATCTGTTCCGTCTTCTCCTGTTATACCCCAAAGCTCTGGAACTCTATCCCTAAGGACATCAGAGAGTCACCTTCCCTAAACTCTTTCAAATCTAGACTCTAAACCATCTTCTTAGCCTTTTCTTGACTGGTTCTGTTATTTACTCCTCTGCTCCTACTCAATTCAGTAACCCCATCTACTGTCTCTTCTCATTGTGTATTTTCATTATTGTTGTTGTCATTCTATAAAGTACTTTCAGAAGCCACCTTTACAGGCACTTTATAATATAAAGCTTATTTATTTTTATAGTACCTTTACACCATTCCTTTAGAAATCCCCACCATTTATCAGAACCTGTGTTTACTCCTACTATCACCTCAAGCCTGCACATGACCCCTTCATTTTTTAGGATAATCCAGTGATGACTCTTGTCCATAAACCTGTACTAATTTATTGTGAACTCATTTATTTAGTTTTTTATTGTCTGTGAAATAACAGAATTCCTCATTCTTTTTAGTCAGAATTGAGCGACTCAAAAACATCTGTTTGAAGATGTCTTTATTCAGGGATAAGAGGATAAACTAGCTTGTATAACTAGTGTAAACATACTCTTAATACAAGTAGTTTAAAACCTTTGCACAAATGGCTGCCCCAAAAACATAATAATAAGAAAACTAATCATTTATAACATGCCATTAGGTAGCGTCCTTTGGTTTAACATCAGCTGTGGGACATGATTGGAGATACATATTACTCAAAGGTTTCTCATATAGAGGATTCACTTTGAAACCTTTTTTCCACACTGATATTAATTATTAAATCAAATACAATATAGTGTATAATATTGATTCCATGTTCTTATTTTCTGTTATCACAGGTAGTATCATGACACTTTTTTATTTGTTGATATAACATGATATCATTAGATGATTTTGATAAGGAACAAGTAATAGGTTTATTGCATGCTGAAAAGAGAAGAAAGAAAACACAATGTTTTGACCGTGGAGCCTTCTTCAGGTGTCAACCTGAAGAAGGCTCCATGGCTGAAACTTTATGCTTTTTTTCCTCTCTTTTCAGCATGGAATAAACCTATTACTTGCTCCTTTGCAGCCTATGCATGCTGATTCAGCTACCCAACTGATGATTTTGATGCATTTGTTTTATGCATAAATATGTGCAGATAAAAGCCTAGCTACCGTGTGGAAGATTTGCATGAAAAAACACTTTGGTGCTGTTATGAAAACCACTGTAGAACTGCTGTACAACTCTTTTCATTTTCAGTGCATGAAAAGACCAGGACAGACTCTGAAGAGTGATGCAAATGGTCAAAATGACAGTTGGCCAATTTCCTTTGTTTTTAGGTAAGCAAATTTTCCCAATCACAATTTAGCATTTTTAGTGGAATATTTTGATCAAGATTTGTCTAGTTTACAAGTCATGTGACAGTAGTAATGTGAGCATCTTCATTCATGAAAGCCTCTGTCTTCTGACAATTTTATTTTTCTTTGTTTTATACAAAGTTGTGATATCAGTTTTTATCTTTAGTTTCAAATAGATGACTTTAAGTTCATTTTACATGTAAAATAAGTTTGATGTGTTTGAGGATGTTTATACAGTAAGAATAGAGGACAAGGAGGCTAAGACCCTCATGCAAAGTGAGGGGTGAACCAAGCGGTATATGCAAAGGCAGAGATGGGCTGGATGTATGAGAAGAAATGTAAAAAGAGACGGATTTGTGTCTGAAATTTGAATTTGTGAATGGCTTTGAAAAGTGATATTGGAAATTGTTATGATTAAGAATAGTTGGGATGAAAGTGGCTTGATTGTTGTCATCCCTCCCAAATTTCATTTACTTTAATAGTAAAGTTATTCGTGTAAAATGTTATTCCTTTATATTGTATGTGTATATACTGTATAATTATGTTGTTACCTGATTAGTTATACATAAAGTATAATTAATAAATATTTCTATTTTCCTTTACATAGATCCAATGAAATTAGCTAATTATAATTTGAAAACTAAGCTAAATAAGCATATAATCACTTTAATATCATTCATCACAAAATATATTATTTGATGTACAATTAAAACATGAATAACACCAAAGTAAAATATTATTATATTAAAATGTTTTAAAGTGTATCACAATGGAGCGGTACATTAAACTTTACAGGTTATAGCGAATGAAATAAAAAAGTACAGTACACATTAATGATAAACAACTGTAGAGTTGTGATGCTTGGACTTCTCTGATATCTGTTTATTTAGCTGCAATCTTTTTTCTGCTTACATGGATTAAACAAATGTACTGTATATCATGATAATAATGTTCAATAATGCCCTATACTTAGTGCATATGAGTTAATAATGTTTAAAGGTTCCTTAACAGGTTGCTAATTTGATGTTTCAATTTAAATTCACCAATATTTAGCACTGTCTTGGTAAAATTGTACTTTTCATTTGTGTCTGTATACTGTACGTGTATCTGTTTTCCTCAGAGAAAAATTATTACCTCAACAATAGTTGACCTATTAATCTTGATTTAAACAATTGATTGATATCACACAATTTGAATTGCATATTTATTAATTGACATACAAACATCAGTGTAGGTGTTGATCCTCACAATCCCATCTCTTCCACACGCCTATAACAAGAGGTCAGTACCCTTCTGCCACCCTGTACATCACATTCAGGGTAAAGGCCCCTTTACTACACCCCTACTCCCTGGTTCTCACACTTTAAAAAAAAACACATTTTACAATCACAAAATGTACATTTTACATCTGCACCTCCAACTACACTGTCTTCACCACATATCTATATAGCCTCTTGATATCTTGTGTTGCCAGGGTGTGGGCTCCTCTACCACTCCCCTACACTCTGTATTCACTCAATTCATCAGCTCATAATTAAACAGGACATTTCAGGCAGCCCATAATGAGAACAGGCTGTGTTTTTAAATTCAACAGAATTGTTGCTCTTAAGTTGTCCCTTCTGTGATAATCATAAACGCTCTGGGGTATTTTCACTATTGCACTTATTGTAAATACACAACCCAATACATTTTCTCCACTAGCGTGCTGTCTTTCTCACAGAAACTGCAACCTCCTGCCTTCTGATATAAATTGACTGCTATGCTACACAGTCCTACAGCTAGAGGCTTTGCACCCCTAACTATCACACCCTGCATTACATCACAGTATTCAGAAATTGCTTTTTGATTGTTCACTAAAAATGAGTATTAGAAACCTTTAAAAAATATTTAAAAAAACTATTTCCAAATGCCTCAATAACTTATCATTGATATATGTTGGCACCCCAAATGCCTAACAGCACATGCCTACAATATATTCTTCAGTAGGTTGGTCACATTCTAATTATGACAAAACAAGCCAAAGAGACTTAAAGAGACAGTATACATTACGTGGGCAACAACTCTCCTGGCTGAGAAGAACTAAACATAAGAGCTCTCAAAACGCACCTAATTTATGAAGAATGAACCAGAACAGATGCTGCAAGGGGTGGACGGAGAGAAGCTAGAAAATATAGCATAGAAATGTGGGCAGCCTGTAAGTGTTTATAAGTAGAATATCAGAAATACAAGTTTAGAATTCAACCTCCTTCAGAACTTTTGTTTAACAACGTCTTATGGCACAAACAATTTGTTTCCTTGATAAGCTGGGCAAATGGGCCTGATCAGTCACCACCTCGGTTCAATCAGCTTTATGATTAATGAGAAAATGTATTGCATAAGCATCAAAGTCAATCAGTTGTATCACACTCGGTCTTGAATGATTCATTTATAAAAACGCTAAAAATGTCAATCAATATCCTAAATCTACTGTATATACCTTATGTTTCTATAAAATACTGTATACACATATATAAAGTAATAATAATATATTGTAACGCAACGGGGGCTCAGGCGGACGCCCTTGCCGCATCTGGTCGGCCCCTGCACTGTCCGGGGCTCGAACCCGGGACTTCCGCGTCTCTCTGCAGCGACCTAGCCCCGTGAGCTAAAGAGAGATCTCTCTTTAGCTCACGGGGCTAGGTCGCTGCAGAGAGACGCGGAAGTCCCGGGTTCGAGCCTCCAGTCGGGATGGGGCCGACCAGATGCGTCAAGGGCGCCCGCCTGAGCCCCCGTTGCGTTACATTGGTGTCAGAAGCGGGGTGGGATAGCCCTTCGCCGGGGATGGCGATTTAAGCGGGGGAGAGTGTAACGCTTACGGCCGACAAGCACTGTGTGTAAGAGCCGGCGTACCAGAGCAGGTGAGTCACCGCCCTTCCCTGTGATAGCAGGACTACAGCTACTGGGCTGTAGCGAGATCTCTCTTTAGCTCACGGGGCTATGTCCCTGCAGAGAGACGCGGAAGTCCCGGGTTCGAGCCCCAGACGGTGCAGGGGCCGACCAGATGCGTCAAGGGCGCCCGCCTGAGCCCCCGTTGCGTTACAATATTTTGTTTAATATAGTGCCATTAAAGGTAGCTTCTCATAGCGCTTTACAGAATGACAACAACAATAAATTAAAAGAATACACAAGAAAAAAAACAATTACAATATACAGAAGATACCGTGGATGGTGGTACTAAGAAAAGTTGAAGCAGAGGAGTAAAGAATTGAACCAGTTAAGTAAAGGCTCTTCTAAAGAAGAAGTTTTTAGGTCTGGATTTGAAGGAGTTTAGAGAAGGTGACTCTCTGATATCTTTGGGCAGAGAGTTCCAGAGCTTGGGGGCATAACAGGAGAAGGCCTTGTCACCCATACAATGTAGATGGGCTTGGGGGACAGTTAGGAGACCAGAATTAGAAGAGCGAAGGTTGTGAGGTAGGGAGTAGAGCGATAATAGTTCAGACAGGTACTGAGGTGTCAATCCATGCAGAGCCTTAAGTCCACACTGAATTTGACAGGAATGCCAATGCAAAGACTCCAGGATAGGAGTAATGTGAACACTTGCACTAGACTTGGTCAAGATTCTGGCTTCATAATTTTGGACATCCTGTACTGCCAGATACCCCAGTGAGTAGAGCATTATAGTAGTCAAATCGAGAGAACATAAATGTGTTGATCAGCTTTTCAGACACAGTTAGTTATAACATAGGGCATAGTCTAGCGATATGTTTGAGGTGAAAAAAAGATGTTTTGATAATATACTGCACATGTGGGTCGAATGTTAAGACGGAATCGAATATCACCCCAAGGTTTTACAATTTAGACTGAAAGTAATATGTTTCTTTTAATGCTCAGTGTTATTATCGACCTATCTTTATAGACAAGATAAGTATATTTAAACTTCCTGTTTCCACTGGCATCAAATAAACAAGCCAGAACCATAAATGCACCTTTACAGATGCAGCACACCATAAATGCAAATGCGCAATTGACCTTTATACAGATAACACTTGAATTAAAATAAGCACAACAAGCACAACATTTCCCAAAGTTACTGCACCAACTCTGTTCTGTGTTTTCATTGGTTACATTAAGCAGGATATAGGGGTGGCCACTTAAGTATTTATATTCACAGTGAGAAACTGTAACATGTCCAGAAGTATGTTTTTAAATTTTCAAATGTTCTCAGAGGGGACTGGTAATCAGAAACAGCATGTTTCATTTAAACATTTCTTTGTGGGAGAGTCACCTACAGTGTGTAAACTTGTGAGTTACTGTCAGCTTGTTTTAAATGCATTAAGAGATTTATTAAATTAATATTTTATTTCAAAACATAAATGCTCAAACTGAAGATTTCTAAGTGTTCTGATCTGTTACAGTAAATGTCAGAAAAAAACTGAAACAAGTTAATTGCATAAGTATTCTGACTTGTGAACTTGATATTTGGAGGAAGCATGTTTGCAAATACATTTTTGGGGCAAGTCTCAACTGGATTTGAACATTTGGGAGCAATATTAACTAGTTAGTTTTGTGTCAGATAAGCTTTGAATTAAGATTTTCTAAATTTATATTCAGTATAATGTAAGTTCATTGATGCAAATTGTGTGGAAATTGAGATGTTATTTTTTTCTTCCATGTAACCACCTTTTGTGGAGTGACTGAGATATTAGTGACTCACACAAATTTCTCACTGAACTTTCTAACTTTTTCAGTTCAGTTCAGTTCAGTTTATTTGTCATATGCAAAAGTGCAATAAAATGCTTATTTGCATGTATGCTCCAATACAAAGACATTAAAGGAAATCACCAAAAAAACATGAACAAAGAACAGCAGCAACAAAAGTTTAAATAACATACAACTGACAAAAAAGGTCAGACAAGCAGTGTGAGAAAAAAACATCAGTGTGAGTCTGTGGTAGGGGTAGAGTTCAGTAATCTGACAGCTTGTGGGAAGAAACTGTCTCTGAA